AGGACAGAAAACCAATCAGTAATGGAAGATTGGCTTCTCATCTCCAGTGCTGGCTTCCGTCAAAATGCCGAGGAGAGGAGGTCTTGATCTGCAGTTACGTTCCCAGCAGGCACGCTTGCCTTCAGGAGCAGAGGCCAAAGCAGGGTAGTCCCTCCCAGCCAGGACTCACAGGTACCCCTCACAGACCTCTCGGAGGCAAAATGAAAAGTGAACTTAAGAAAGAGGACACTGTGGGATATATGAAACAGAGCAGATAAAAGTTAAACCCAAGAGTCGGTCTGAGTACTGCTAACCTTGGCTTATGTGTTTTTGTACAAGAAGCGTCATTGGGAGGCAGGTAATAGAAAGGGAGACAAAGGGAGGGGGCACCACCTCCTCAGCTTGCAGAGATGTCAGTGCTCATTCGCTGCACACACTGTAACTCACACCTGTGTAACAAACGCTTATGATATTTAGACAAATTGAATTAATCAGGAAAGGGTGGAAATCACAAGGGAAACACCTAGAAGCAGAGAAAATAAAAACCGTAACTAACCCAGAATGGCAGAAATCAGTCTACGAGCCACAACTGAATGCGTTCAGTGCCCCTAGTAAAAACAAACACTTTTAGCCAAGTTGTGAAAGAAAATCTAGTCATCTGAAATTCGAGAAAACAGTGACATAGAAAGATGGAAAGAGAATGGATTGAAAAATATGTACCAGGCAAATACCAACAATAAGCAAGTGTAGCAATATTAATGTCAAACTAAATGGAATTCAGGGTTTAAAAATAGCATTCAGAAGCACAGAGGCATATTTTACACTTAGAAAAGATAAAGTTCACTAAGAAGCCTCTCTGTATTATCAACATAATATCATCTTATAAAACCTCAAGTTAAAAGTATGACGAGGGCTTCCCTGGTGGCTCAGTGGTTGAGAGTCCACCTGCCGATGCAGGGGACGCGGGTTCATGTCCCGGTCCGGGAAGACCCCACATGCCGCAGAGTGGCTGGGCCCGTGAGCCATGGCTGCTGAGCCTGCGCGTCAGGAGCCCGTGCTCCACAGCAGGAGAGGCCACAGCAGTGAGAGGCCCGCATACCGCAGAAAGAAAAAAAGTATGACGAGAATGTGGTATTTTCTCTTTCTAAATGAAAATCTTTACACTTTTCTTAGAAACTGATACATCAAGTAGATAATATAGATAAGGGTACAAAGGGATTCTGGCAAACTTAACCTTGATCCAGAATACATAGATATTAACTCTGTGTCCCATAAACAGAGAAGCACATTTTTTTTTTTTTTTTTACAAATACTAATGGGATATTTGTGAAAATCAAGGCTGACTTACCCCAAAGTTGTATTTTTTGTCATATGATATCTGTTCATTGGTTTTTGCTGGGTTGGGTTTTTTTTGCGGTTTTTATTTTTTGAGGTACAGTTGAGGTACAATATTACATAAGTTTCTGTTGTGCAGCATAGTGATTCATAATTTTTAAAGGTTATATTCCATTTGTAGTTATTGTAAAATATTGGCTGAATTCCCTGTGTTATACAACATATCCTTGTATCAAAGCTGTGTTTTGCCAATCATGCTTTCTTTTTGTTGTAAATGACCTTCTACTCTCTAGCTGCTGGGCACCCCCTTAAAGAGTTATAATATTTTTATTGGCTGGAGAACACCCAAGTTGTTCCAGTCACACAGGTAGCAGGTGGCCCCAAGTTCTCACCATTTGTCTCATCTCTGAAGCACCAGCTGGGCAGCAGTCCCCTTCCTGTTGAGGAACCTAAAAGCTGCCTCCCTGTTGCCTAGCTTCTCTTGTTCTCCCATCTTTGGGAAGAGAGAAAACTTGACCTCTTTTTGTTGTTGTTGTTGTTGTTTTTATTTGGTTGCACTGGGTCTTAGTCGTGGGACATGGGCTCCTTATTTGTGGCATGCAAACTCTTAGTTGTGGCATGCATGTGGGATCTAGTTCCCTGACCGGGAATCAAACCCGGGACGCCTGCATTGGGAGCACAGAATCTTAACCACTGCACCACCGGGGAAGTCCCAAGACTTGACCTCTTGCTCAGCATTATCTTTACCCTTTTGCAAGCCAGGAGAGACCAGGCAAATTGGCTCAGAGTCTTTGCCATCCCTGACCCCCCCAAATCAACACATCTCCGGTGGCCAAGCTCTTTCTGGTAGATGCTGCCTTCCTGGCCTTGCTTTGGAGCAGCCTGATGCTATTCTCCAGGTGAATTTAGCAAATCTCCACACCAGAAATCCCCTGTCCACGGGGATATCCACAGTCCCTCCGAGGCCCTGGCAGCTGGCCTTCTAGGAGAGGTGGGAGCAGGGGGTGGAGAGGATGAGAGTCGTGTACAGGCCACCATGTTTCCAGTACCCCGCCCCCGCCAACACACACACCAAACACTTTTACCAGACAACTTGCTAAACATCTTACACGTTTCTCTTGGCATTTTTATTCCACTGATCAATGTCTTTCCTCCCTGCCCTCCCCAATACTTCTCTCTTTTTTCATAACAAGTAGCTATTTATGAAAACTGCCCTAACTGAAGGAAACTTTTTACCATTTTATTGCTTGTATGTCTTTCACATTCACACTCTGACATGCCTGCCCACCGTTGTAAGGAGGATTTTATTGCGTGTCTAAAGCAGACCCCCTTGCTCAACTCTTTCTAAACCAGGAAGTGAAACAAAATTGGTGGTGTGAACACAGTGGGTTTCTAAGCATTTTTCATGTTTCCTTCCATTATGTTGGAGGATAAATTCCTGGCTCAAAGTTGAAATAATTCCTCTAAGCTAATAGGAAATTCAGTATGACTTATCCAGTGAAGCACTGAATATAAAGTGAGCTTTCTCACATGCAAAAACGTGATGCATTTTATAAAAACTGTTAAGATGAATGTTTGAGGAGCTTAGTATAGATGGAAGAGGAAAAGATACAGCTTAGTGATATAAATGCAAACGTATACTCTGCAGATTCCCCCCGGGCACATACGCACACACTGTAACTTTAAAGCTGTCTGTTAGAAGGATGAGATGGAGTTGTGAGCCAGACCACGTTGGTTTGGACAGAAATTCTTACAGAATTATTAAGCCTTAAAAAAAGCAAAGGAGATTTATGCAACTGCATTTGACCAATTTGGTTTGGAATAGGTTCATAATGGAAAAGTAATAAAACCATAAGAGACAGTGTCTTCTGAGTACAGTCTCGCTTTTAAAAAATCTAAACATGGGCTGCCCCAGTTTGGATAAAATGACTGTAGAAAAATTTCCCATTGGTAATTTTGGGAGGGTTTTTTTTGTTGTTGTTGTTGTTTCTTTTTCATTGATTATCGGCCAATATAAATTTTAAGCTTTCTGTCATATTTTTTCTGGAGATGCCAGTCATAGGAAAGAGGAATCCTGAAGTGTTATCTGTGGGCGCCTCCCCTTCAGGTCACTACACTACACTACACTACACTACACTACACTACACACACACACATACACACACACACACACACACACACACACACAGTTTGTTTAGCTGTCAGTAAAGTCTTTCTCTGATGTAAATGAAGAGGTGAGGGTTTGGAAGGTGGGGGGTGGTTGAGTGTATGTGACAAGGCACCTCCGGTGACTGCCAGAAAAGGAGGAAGAGGAGATGGATAACAAGCTTCACCTCTGAAAACTCAGGAAGAGGAGATGGATAACAAGCTTCACCTCTGAAAACTCAGACCTAGTAACTCTGATTTCCACAAGAAAGCAAAAGAAAAAAACAAGCAAACAAAATCTTTCTCCGTTTGTTCTCAACCACTCGAAGTCATCATCTTGATAATGCTTCAGACTGTTTAAGAATATAAGCGTAACAAACGGAGGTTGGTGATCTGGAGACAGGCATGTGCTCCTCTAGGTGTGTTGGAGCCTCCTTCACTGCGGGCGAGAGTCACAGCTGTGCTTCCCAGAGGGGACAGCAAAGAGGCATTTGATTTCATCCGATTCTTAACTTTCTTTCCACGGCCGGCAGTTCAAAGCACAGGTCTTTTTATATAGGGAGAATGTGACCGGACTGCGAAGGTGTTGTCTTTCCTGCAGGTATGCCTGCGGCATCTCTAGTGACTCCCGCTGATGTTATCAAGACGCGATTACAGGTGGCCGCCCGGGCCGGCCAGACCACTTACAGCGGAGTGATAGACTGCTTTAGGAAGATCCTTCGGGAGGAAGGCCCAAAAGCTTTGTGGAAAGGAGCTGGCGGTATGGAAATAATTTGCTCTTAACTAAACCTTTGGTATCAGGTGAATTTTTACAATCTAATTGCATCTGTTATTTCTTATTTCTTTCAAAGCTCGTGTGTTTCGTTCCTCCCCCCAGTTTGGTGTAACTTTGCTGACCTATGAATTGCTGCAGCGATGGTTCTACGTTGATTTTGGAGGAGTGTAAGTATCCTGCTAAATTTCAGCTGCTTCTGATACTCTGTTGTCATTGAGAAAGGTGTGTCTGTTCAGTCCCTAGGATGAAGTAGAAAAGATGTAGGAAAATACTGAAGTCATGTCATCAAACTCATTTCAAAAGGGAATATACAGCCAACTAGAATTCCACAATTCCTCTCTGATCCAGACTTCAGCAGTTTTTGAACGTTGTTTTTACCAAGGTAAAAAACAAAACAAAAACTCAGATTCTCGCTCTGTTTTCTCTCCTTTTAGGAAGCCCATGGGAGCAGAGCCAGTTCCTAAATCCAGGGTCACACTGCCTGCTCCCAACCCCGATCACGTTGGGGGCTACAAACTGGCAGTTGCGACGTTTGCAGGGATTGAAAACAAATTTGGGCTTTACCTACCTCTCTTCAAGCCATCAGTATCTACCTCACAAGCCATTGGTAGAGGCCCGTAGGACCGTCCCTGCGCTATTGCTGCGGCTTTGTTGTTACTGCAATGAAGAATGCCCCATCTTGGATTGAAGCAACACTTCATTCCTTTCACTTCCATCTCCTGTTTAAATTCAAGTTGAGGCTTTTTATAAGGTGAAATCATTTATTTTCTGTGTGGTTTCATAACCTAGATCATTGTGAAATTTTTCATAATTATTCTTTGGGCCTCTGCTCACAAACCTTTGTGTCCGACATTTGCTGGGATTTGGTCAACACTAACCTGATTTGGAGGAAGGAGCAAGTCTGAATACAAATTAGAACCATTCTCTTTAGGATTAGGATTATAGTCCCGAAGAGGCTGTTGAGAGGGAATCATGGTGCTCAGAGCAAAAGTGTTCCATGTCTGTTTAACCTGGTAGGAAACTGGGTGCATATTTGTGAAAGTAAAAAACACTGGAAGAAATGAAAACATTATCAGAAATAGCCAGCCTGGCTTCACATTTTAAGCATGCACTAATTCTGTCTCTGGATTATATTATGAAGCTTTTATGTGAAACATGTTTTTTTGTAATGAAAACCACATTGAAGATGTTTAATAATCATATTCTGTTACTGGTACTAAGACTACTAGGGAGAAGTCTTTTGTGCTTTAGCGAAAGTACTGTTGGCACTGTACTCTCTAGATGGAGAAACCAGGATATGCAGCATCTCTCCTAATTTGGGGGAACTGCTCATATGAAGCACATGTGCTGACTGCTGCCTATTTCAATAAACACTGTAGAAAAACGCGTGCCTCCCTGTTGCTGGTACCTACCCTCGCCCCCTCCCAATCCCCTGTAATTGGCATCCATTTGCTTTTAAAATCCATTTTGTCTTGAATCATGGAAGAAAAATACATTGCAATGTAAGTTTTTATTTAATTTGTGGTGCCTTGCACAATGGTCAGAAGGCTCATGTGTTTGTGAAGAAGGAAATAAACTGTTTTTAAAGCTACTGAACTGTTTGCTCTTGTTATGTCATGTGGCGAATGACCGCAATAATTGTCATCATTGGACTCTCTGTGTTTCATTTTGAGGGCGATTTGTTCGTATTGGCACGGATATGTCCTCGTCTTTCAAGGTGACGTGTGCCCTTGTCTTCAGTATGCCAGTGTTCCGCGTGAATAAGAGAAACTACATTTAACCCCAGATGAGCGAGGAACCTAGCAAACTGACACTTGTTGTTCTAGTCATTCTCGGTGCTTTTGGCAGTTTCTTATCGTGAGAATTAATATAAAGCTTCACTGGCAGTTGGGCGTGAAAACTGGTATGAAACGGCAGTGGTATTTTCTCATTTTCTCTGACTCTTCCTCATACCAAAACCATATACCACTGTGTCTGACCTTTGGTAATATTTGGCCAACACTGTAATGACTGGTGGAAAGGTGTTAGTCTTGAACAGAACTTAGGGCTCTTCTTAGGCTGCAATCATGCTCCTGAGGAGGCTGCTGAGTAACTTATCAGCAGTGAGTTTGAACTTTCTGTTTTTCTGAAATTCACCTCCAGACGGCACAGCCATTTTTCAGTCTCTGTCTTGCTGTAGATCAGCAGGTTGGCATTCAAAGTTATTGTTCAAAATTGGAAAGCGTAGACACCATCCATGAGTCTGTTTTGTTTTGTTTTTTTCAGTGAACAAAAGCTTTGTTATTCTCACCAGAGATAGGACACATACATACATGGCTCCCTCATGGCAAACACCAAAGAGAAACCCCTCTGTCTCCCTGAACTCACCCCTAATCCCTGCTCAAAGTGACAAGTGGTATTTATATTTTAATCTCAAAGACCAGTCACAAGACTCCAAATATGTCGTAGAAATTTAGGTGGTGTTACAATAACAAAGCACTCAAGCTTTGGTATTTTGAATGTGGAGAAAAGTACCCGAGTGTAAATCACTGCATTCCTTTTCTTCAAGTGCTTGAAATTTTATAGAAGATCAAATTTTCATTGTATAAACACTGACCCACGTCTCACACATGGTGCATTGCCCTGCCTGCTTCTTTAAGAGATGCTGCATTTGTTGGGAGAGTGTCTTGGTTTCCCTTAGACGTACCTGTAGCTGAGGGTGATTCTCTTTAGTAAATGAGAAACCCGAGGTTCCAGGAAGCCAAAGGAGATAGGGCCACAGGACTGTGTTTCTTTAAAATCCTCGGCTTAATCTGTTCAGGGATAGGCAGTGACTTGAGACACTTTGAAGGAGGCCTAATTTCCATCTGAGTTGTGCTCAGTGGGTGGTGTGACTGTGACATCCTTGAATAGAACTGCAATCACCGTGTGGTGAAAACCACGTCAAATTTGTTCTGGGTTTTTCTTCTTCCTGAAGTGACAGCACAATACGTCGGCAGTGCTGTGGCTGCCGTTTCTGCAGCTGCTCCTTTTCCTCAATGCTGAGGAACTGAAAGCTGTGTAACTCCCACCCATGGGGACCAGCCTCCCCCCTGCCCTGCCAGTGCTGGAGTGTCTCCCTCTGCCCTTGGTCCACCTCATGATTGCTTGGGGGTGGGGAAGAGGCCTGACTTTTGTAGCAGCCTTTTTTTTTTCTAGGAGGGGAAAAAATGTGGAGCTGACCACAGAATGAACACACTGATTCTTGGGTTCCAGTCGTGGCTGGGTTTCTTGAGGCTGGGTGGCATGCTGTCGCCAAGCTCATGCTACACCTCATAACCCACAACCATTCGCTGTGCTCCCTGGGGTCGCCTTAATCCCAAGCAGCCAGGGTTGCACAGGGGAAAATAAGAATTCTGGCACAGAAAGGAGTCATTTAAATGCTTATTGCATTTCAAGCTTCAGTTTTTACTTAGCTAAAATATTTACCATTGCTGGAAAACAATGTTTAAAATTTTGTGCTTATATGTTATTTAATGGTGTGGGCTATGTAAACCTCAGGATGCTTACATTTTGACAGTCTTCTGGAAATGTTTAACAGCACATAACTCAGTGAGCAGGGAATAAAAACCGGGAACAAATTGTGCTTGAAACTTTGTAACCTCCCCTGGCTAGGTATTCGGCAAGGCACCTTGGAATTCTTTAGGTAGAGGCAGGGAAATCTCCAGTAATGGAATTTGGTGAATCCTGTCTTGTGGCCCCATTTGTCAACCTTCTAGATAAACCCTAAGAGTCATCATGTGCTTTTTACCGCAGAAGCCATCCTTGTGGGGATGAATTTGTGTCTTTGCCACTGAGCAAAATCCCATTTTAAATTCAGAGTAATCAAAGGCTTTCAGGATGTGGATTTTCCCGAAGATTTTTAGAAGACACGTTCCCTGGTAAGAGCACAAATGGTACTGCCCACAAAGGGGGCGTGCCTTTTGTTTTACCTTTTGGGAATAACCCAACCCTCACCAAAGAGTTTTGTTTTTGATGTTATGAGGACCACGGTGGGGGGAGGGGGGTGTTTAATGTTTTCATTTTAAGGTCTGAGGCAGCAAAAAGCATTGCCACTTCTATCTTTTAAAACAGTGGCAGTCTTCAGCTTGCAAACCCAGATTGGGCTCCATAAGGGTAGGGACTATGCTTTGATGCTAGTTCCATAGTGCCTAGAACTTTTAGTAGACTCTTATTATTTGGATGGATGGATGGATGGATGGATGGATGGATTTTTGAGAAATGGTTTTTTTTTGTCAATGAGTAATCTCTATTATTTTCCTATTTCATAGGCCTTTTCAGTAGTGGTTTTAATGGCTGGAGTTAAAACTATAACTGAAAACAATTATAGTCTTATGTATTGTTCAGTTACTTTAGAAGTCATAAGTACTTCTTTTATTAAAGCAACTACAGCTATTTATTTAAATTGGTTTTAATTAGTTGGTTACTTTGAGTCAGTAACTTTCATATAAACTGTATGATATTTAAATTTCCTGGTCATGGTTAAAAACAAAGAGTTAAAAAATCATATACTTTGAGATTAGTGTTACATTAGGTTTGAGCTATATCATTAAAAAACAGTTTTTATCAATAAGTGTTAATTATTTAGATCTCATTCTCTGTTCTTCACTGTCTTGACGTTTGTGTCCTTAGGAGCACGGTGGAGAGCTTTCCTTTAGAAGCTGCCGAGGACAACGGGAACTCTCTTTCAGAAGGGTTTGTTTTTAGCTAATGCATTAATTGACTCCAAAAAGTCCAATGGAACACTCTGCTTTCATCTGCTGGGGTAACCTAATAAAATAATGTTGTTTGTTTTTAGATTCCCGGCTGTTAAGGGGGTTTTGCTCAAGGCAAAACCACAGTCCCCTCGAATAACTTTAGAAGGAGAGTTAAGAAGACACACTAATTGTGCCTGTCTGAGGTTTGCTCCTTCGAGGGCCCAGACACACCCCTTGCACACTGGTCTGGCCACCAGGGCTCCGGTGCCCACCGCTGAGTTGATTCCATTGGACAGGGCTCCTGCCCCTTTGGAAGATGCTTAATTTTTCTGTGAGCAGTTCTTGAGGGGATTTAAAAATGGACTAAGCTCTCGGAGCAGACTTGGGCAAGCACGCTGTATAAGCTATCCGTCTGTCCTACAGAATGGAGAAAGGGAAACACAACTTAATGAAAGAAGACTGATTATAACATGCTCCTTACCTCCCATCACCCCCTCCCCCATCCTTTGCTACTTAGCCAGGCTCATGCTCTGGTGTCTTATTGGGCTGCTTTCAAATGAGAAGGGGACAAGTAATCCTGCCCCCCCCCACCCCGGAGTTCTTTGGCCAGGAAGAACTCACTAAATATGAGTATTACATGCCAGACATGCTCTCATTAAATCCTTCACACGTCCCTTGAAGTAGGTACTATCTTTTCCCTGTGTCACAAATGAGGAAACCAAGACTCAAGAGAGGTTAAGTATCTTGCTCATGGTCTCAGCTAGCAAATAAGGATGCTAAGATTTGAATCCAGGTCTGATGGCCCCCCAAGCCCTGTTCCATATGAGGATTTCTCAACAAAACTCAGTACAGGAAGTTTTTATGATAGTCTATGCCCAGAATTTCTTATTGTCCCCTGGTTCTCAGTATCAGATGTATCATTCCTAGCTTAGAGTAGAAGGGAAGGGTGATCTCAGATTATTTACCATAGTAAGTGCATTTGCTATCAGAGAATTCCAGAGCCTGAGGACCTGGTGAATCCTGACAAGCCTTTTGAGGTTCATCTTAAACTATTTTACAGCCTATTAAAGTCAGTAAAGAGAGAATTAAGGTAAACTTGAAGTATTTGTCCCACTGGTTTAAAATTGGAAGGTAACGTGGAAAAAGCAGAGATAAATTTACAAACTGTTACAGTGCAATGTGATATGACGTGAGCTGAATTGGACCATCTTAAAAATCTCTACTATAATTAGGAAATGACGTTCTTCAACAAAAGTTGGAAATAATGGAAAACCAACTTAAAAGTAAATATCTATGGGTACTTGGCTTCAAAGTGTGTCTGGAGGGAATGGAGACAGTTTACAGAATGTGGGATTTGCTGGAATTACTTTTGGACATAAAATCTCCATCATGCCTAATGGTGGAAAAGCCTTACTCTATTCCCAACAAGTTACCTGTTATCCCTAAAGGTAAAGGCAGATATCTACCACTGCGTTTTGCTGCCCCCTCACCCATTCTTAAATAAATGAAAGCAAATTACTGACTAACCCACACCAAAAATTTATAGCATTTTTTTCCTGGGCAAAAGGGATAAAAAAATATATATATATGTGTGTGTGTGTATGTATATGTGTGTGTGTGTATATGTGTATATATGTATATATATACATATATATGTATATATGTATATATATAATATACACACACATATATATATAAAAACATAAATACATATACATGTGTGTGTATATATGTATATGTGTATTAAAATGTCATATTCCTTTTTCAAAAGAGTGATATATTTCAAAATGTGAATTTCTGTTTTGAAGCAGAATTTACCTATGTAAGTTCTAAGCATACAGATATGCTTTATCAGTTTGAGAATTTATGGAGA